CTTCTCCCCTCCAGTTATGGGTAAATAGCAGGACAGACTGGGTTCTATAGTTTTAGATGGCAACTGGTCTACTGCAGAAAGAAATGGCAACCTACTAGAAGAAAATATCTGCTTCATCAGTCATGTATCAAAATAGGGAGTAATGGTAGAGTAATGGATAGTGGCTCAGATTGAGGAATCGGAGAGCAGAGTTCAAATTCCAGTTGACTCCATTAAATTCACTTACATTCTAATACCCTTGGAAAAGGTATGAATCCTCTTCTCCTCCCAGCTATGATATGAGTAAATAGCAAGACAAACCAGTCTGTCTCGTCTGCTGCAGAAAGAAATGACAACCTACTGCAGGAAAAAATCTGCCTCGTCAGTCATGTATCAAAAGATACATGATCGCTTAAGTGTGTATCACACATGGCACATAACTGAATTTTGTTAGTGTTTTCAGCCTGATCTGACCATAATGACCATACTGATCATTTGACCATAATGACCATAGGCAGGACCACAGAGGGGGATAAATATTGCTGAAAGCAACAAAAGCTAAGAATCTTGAGAGAACTATGATCACAACAGAAAGATAGAGTGAAAGCTATTATCAAAGTGGACATTCACACTTTTGAGGGAAGACTCCCGCCTATTTCTCAAATTCTATGATGCACCTCTCAGAAACAATCTTATCAATGCATGTGTGTCCTGAATTACATTGTGGGCAAATCCATGGTCAAAATGCCTTCAAAATGATTAAAAATAATTGATTTCCAAAATACGAGGATGCTCAATCATTGTTCCATCACTTGATCATCTTCTTTTCCACTTTTATTATTATTATTATTATTATTATTGCCATAATCATAAGAGCAAAAAAGAGAAAAGGAACAAAGATGGCAGCAGCTGATGCCTGCAATGATAACCGACAATATTGATTGCAAAAATAAAATAATAAAAAAATTTGCAACTGCAATAAAAACAGTGATTTATTATAATCATAATAATGGAAAAAATATGAAGGAGGGAACATTATGATAATGGATAAAATATTAGAAATAATAATAATAAAGATATCTAGCATATAACCCATCAAAAATGACAATTATTTACATGTAGATCAGGGAGTAGTACGAGTACATACTGTGAATGCAGTAGAGGATCAAAGTGTTGCTTTCTGGTACTTTGACCTTAGATGAGAAATTGTATCTGCACACATTGTGAATTCTAGTTCAAGTCCAAATGTTGCATTTTGAACATTCTGCTTAGCATCAAAATGTTGCATTTTAGACATTCTGCTTAGCATCAAAATGTTGCATTTTAGACATTCTACCTATGATCAAATTGTTATATTTGGCTTAGGATCAAAATGTTGCATTCTGGGTATTCTGCTTAGCATCAAATTTTGCATTCTGGACATTCTTCTGAGGATCAAAATGTTGCATTCTGGGCATTCTGCCTAGTTTCAAAATGTTGCATTCTGGGCATTCTACCTATGATCAAAGTGTTGTTTCCTAGCATTCTGCTGAGGATCAAAATGTTGCATCCTGGGCATTCTGCTGAGAATCAAAATGTTCCTTTCTGGACATTCTGCCTAGTTTCAAAATGTTGCATTCTGTTTATGTCCAAAGTGTTGTTTCTTGGCATTCTGCATATGATCTAAATGTTGTTCCTTGCCATTCTCTTGGGCTTTCATTTTAGGACCAAAAACTGCATTCTGACTAATAATCAAAGTGTTGTTACTTGGCACAACTCCCTCAGATCAAAATGTTGCATTCTGGTATATATTAAAGTGTTACTTCCTCACACTTCTCCCTAACATCAGGGTGTAGTAACGAGAACAATCTTACACTATAAAATAAAGGTTTCAAATTGAAATTCACATGAGGTTACTCAGATTCACAAGTCCCTGATGAAGGTTGGAGAGCACAATGGCTGAAACATTGTGGTAAAAACAACAAAGATGAGGACAATAATAATAATTCTTCAGCCACCACTTAACACTTTCACTGCTATTCATTTGCCCAGTGCTGCTCCCATCCGGCCAGCCATTTTTAAAGAAAATGCCAAATTTCAACCTACATATTTTATTACACAGAAAACTGGCACCAGTGTGTTTTACAGCCTTCCATTTTCATGGATATACCTGGGAATGACTTACCAGATCATTAATGGGTATACACATGATATCTTTTGAAGCATTGTCCTTTGCGATTTTACAATAGATGGCGCAACGGGACACTCATATGCAAAAAAACGTAGGTTTCCGTACTTAGCCAGCTGGAGCAAGATAAGAAAAATGAAGATCTCCATAGTTAGCAGTGGAAGTGTTAATTTAAAGACAGTTTTATGTATGTCATTACTTTCAGCACAAAGAATTATTTTTATTTCATGGGTGACTTTTACTGGATTTCACAATTAATTTCAATTATTCCTAAATTTATTTGCAAGTTAAAAAAAATTGTTATTGTACAAAAAATTTTGTCACAAAAAAATCACATAAAACAAAAAAAATTACTGAAAACAATAGCAGTAAAGAAAACTTGGGGATCTGAATCAGACCTGGAATGTTTTTAATTTGCTGATTCTAAAATGGTATGATATGCTGGGCTATGGATTTTAAGAGTAAAGTTTAAAAAATGTGACACACTGATATTGTATTTATTTATATAGAAGAAAGAGATGAGCTATTGAGAGTTATGTCCCTTTAATGAAAAAAAGGGACACACTGATATTGGAATTTATTATATAGATGGCTGACCTGTGATTAAAATATATAAGGTTCACGCTTTAAAGTACAAGCATTTTTGGAGAGATACATCAATTCAATAAGCTGATGGTATGAACAATAGAAGGCCGAACATTACAACATCTTCAGGTCCAGTGAAGAAAAGACTTGCTCCTGAAAAGAGGACAATGAAGAACATTAAGATACTGAGGATAGATAGTGTTGTGATGAAATAACCTGACTTCCCCATTCACCATAAATGGACGTTCCGGTGGCTGATAAAGTTCGACCACAGTAAACAGTCGAGAGAATCAACAGAGCGACAACAAAGGTCTTCGTTGACTACACCATTGCGGTTAGCTTACTCCTACTCTGTCTCTGTATTTTGACATTCCTACATTCCGATATAAAGTATTATTATTTAAACCACCACTCGGGTTTACTTTGTTATTATATCTTTTTGCGAGATATAACGACTGGCGACGAGATATAACAGATAGATAGATAAGTATAATATAGATGTAAGTAAAGAAAGATCGATCGGAAGAGGCTGAGATAAACTGATGAAGATAAAATTGAACAAATTGAAACAGATTGGTATAAACCAATTCCCCAGCGTAGACATGTATATACATTTTTACCGAAAATATCTTCTTTAGACAAAGACGAATATACACGTTCAAAACACAATATTCAAAAACCAGCTACAGACATGTTTATACATCAATCTTGATTCTTTTTATGAAACAAGTCCAATTGTCAACTCATATGTCTGGCAGAGGTGTTAGTCACCACTCAGGTACTTCAAGGTGCCTCAGTTTCTTAGTTACTATATTAAAAACAGATAAAAAAAAGATGTCTGAAAATGAAATATTTTTCTTAAAATAATTGGTGGGAAAGGGGTTAATAGTAACAGATTGAGATAAAATTATATTAAAAAATATTATACAGATATTAAGAGACAAACACTTAATTATGGTGAATTATATTAACAATGTAACAGATTGATATTGACAAATATTAACAGATTGAGATAGAATTATATTAACCCTTTAGCAATCAACATGCTCAAATGTGTCCTGTAAATATCAACTCTCAAAGTTTCACTGTTTGTGGTCATGGTCTCGCCCTGTTTGATGACTGGATATTTCAAGTGGTTGATCAAGGTAGATGGCAATGCTGGTGAATTTGCATAGCAATTTTGGTGCCGAGCTATGAATCACTCATGGCTGACAGTGTTTAAAACCATAGATGCAGAAGCTTCTCACTTGAAAGCGTATGCAGTTTAGGTGAGTTATGTGAGCTGAAGTTGAAAAGTTCAACATCTTTGAGTCCAGATGCCACAGGAAATAGGAGAATGAAGAAGAAGAACTACAATGATGATAATGATAAAATCAGTTTGAATGAGGAGGAGAGTTCTATAATCTATAAATCAACCATCAATCCTTGCATGGAATATTGCAGTCATATATGATCTAGTGCTCACACTGAACGTCTCAAGGTGCTCGACAAAATCTAGAGAAGAATATGCAAGATTATAGTTCCTGATCTGGTATCTAACCTACAATCGCTACCCCACAGACATGCTGTGGCTTCCTTCTGTCTCTTCTACAAGTATTTTCACAGCAACTGTTCCAACAAGCTACTTTTACTGGTTCCTAGACTGCATGAATTTAAGCAAGCTACCAGACTGGCATCTTGGTCCCACCCTTTCACTGTCAAAATGGTTAAATGTAACCATCTCTTCTACTCAAAAAAGCTTCTTCTCTCACACTTTCCATCTGTGGAACTCACTTCCCCTAACTTACTAACTTACCGATGACTATGATCTTCAAATATTCAAGTGTAATGTCAATCGACATCTGAGCTTGTTCCCTGTCTGTAACCTTTCCTCAAACATACCTCTTTACTCTTGCTCTCAATCCTCTGTAACCCCTTGCATGCTAGTGGCACTCCCGTCTTGCTTGGGGTGAATTGCTTTAAATAAAATAAAAAACTGAAGATAGATAAATAGATAGATGGATGGATGGTCAATTATGACTGACATCTCACTTTAAAGGGTACGCCGTTTAAGAGTATCATGTTAGTTGAATGAGCTGAGCAGAGGTACCTTCAGGTAGAAAGGTTGAGCTTTTTAACATCTTGAACTCCAGTGAAAGGAGGAAAGGAGAAGAAATGATGATGATGATGGGACAAAAGATGAGGATATTGGGGAGGAGGAGGAGAAGACTGATTATGATAGAGAAGAGGTGATGAATGGTGAGGATGACGGAGAAATGAAGAAGAACAATTATGATGATGATGAGAGAAAAAAAGAATGTTGATGGGAAAGAAGAAGAATGATCATGATGAGAGAGTGATGATGATGATGCGAGTGAAGTAGAAGCGTCATGATGATAGGGATGATGATGGAAGAGAAAAAATGATGAGGATGATGATGATGCTGAGAAAAGAATGTCGAGGATGATAGAGAGAAGAATGATGTTGATGAGGGAAAAGAAAAAAATGACAATGATGAGAGAGAAGGAAATTGATGATGATTATAGAAGAAGAATGATGATGATGATGATATGCTGAAGATGTAAAAGAATGATGATGGTAGAGAAGTAGAAGAATGATGATGACAGGAGTGAAGAATAATGATTATGAGGAAGATGATGATGATAAATTATAAGAATCTTGAGAGAGGAATGATGATAATGAGAGAAAAAGAAGAATGATGATAAGAGAGAAAAAGAAGAATGATGATGATGAAGGAATGAGAGAAGCAGGAAAATGATGATGATAATAAATGATGGGATAAGAATCTTGAGGAAGAGAGAGAGAGGAATGATGATAATGAGAGAAAAGAAAAAGAACAATGGTAAGAGAGAAGAAAAATGATGATGATGATGATGATGGTAAGAGAGACAAAGGAAAATGATGATGATTAGTGGAGAAGGATGATGATGATGGTAAGAGAAGAAAAATGATGATGATGGTATGAGAGAAGAAGGTAAATGATGATGATGATAAATGATGAGCTAAGAATCTTGAGGATGTGAGAGAGAGGAATGATTGATAATGAGAGAAAAGAAGAATGATGGTAAGAGAGAAAAAGGAAAATGATCATGAGAAGGATGATGATGATAAGACAAGATGATGATGGTAAGATAAAAGAAGAAATGATGATGATGATTGGAGAAGAATGATGAGAAAAGATGATGATGATGGTAAAAGAAGAAAAGTGATGATGATTAGCAGAGAAGAATAATGATGATGAAAAGAAGAAGAAAATGATGATGCTAAGAGAGAAGAAGGAAAACGATGTTGAATAGAGAATAATGATGATGATGATGATGATGATGGCAAGATAGAAGAAAGAAAATGCTGATGGTGATGATTGGAGGAATGATGATGATGATGAGAGATGATGATGAGAGATGATGATAAGACAGAAGCAGTATAATGATGATGATGATGATGTGAGATAAGTAATAATAGATATGAAGAAATAACAAAAGTCACAGTAAAATTCTGAATCACGGCTGAAAAATAATGAACGTCATAACCTCCATCTGAACCTCCCACCCAAATGATAGTAGAATCTGAGACATGGCAAATTTTATATGGGGTATGACATATATACTATTGTTACATTTACAGTGAGAGGATCTTTAAAACTAATCAATATATTGTAGATAACAAAGCCAATCCATTGTCATGTTCAATGGATGAAAAAAAAAAAGATCAGATATTTATTGTGAAAACCCGAGTCAGTTCTACTTTATAATTTGAAAGGAACCATGAAAAAAAATATCTATTAATGCAGAAACTTAACAAACACAACAAAGTATTTGTTGATTTTGCAGTTTTCTATTTTGTCTTTTAGATTTTTTTTTTTTTTTTTGTTTAGTTTCAAAAATTGGTTTGTGAATCTGCCGACCAGAAAAGAACCAATTCCGAGAATAAATAATAAAATATTTTTCATTTCCTCTGACAACATTTATTTCAAACAAGTATGATGAGGTTGCTATGAACCCTCTGAGACAAAACCAGAATTCTGTTTGGCTTTCATTTTGACACCATTTTTGCTGATGTTTTAGCGTTTGGTTCTTTTTTTTTTTTTTTTTCAGTCTATGCATTTCTCTGTTTCCTTTGATTGCTAAATATAAACATATATCATTGCATATTTAACTCTGATACAAAGAATCAAATCAAGTTGTCACACTTTGCAAAACTGAACACTCGTCATTTCTGCATGGCAGATAAGCATCAAATGGAAAAATGAAAAAGAGACAAATTTATGAAGAGACATAAACAGACAGTAAGGGAATTGTATGCATAGAGAGAGAAAGAGACAAATAGAGTGGATGAGATAAATATAAACAGACTTAGATATAAACAGAGATCGATATAAACAGACTTAGATATGAAAAGACTGAGACAGACAGACGGATATGAAAAGAGTGAGATAGATAGACAGAGAAACATGAAAAGACTGAGACAGATAGACAGACAGACATGAAAAAACTGAGACAGACAGACAGACAGACATGAAAAGACTGAGACAGACAGACAGACAGACATGAAAAGACTCAGACAGACAGACAGACAGACATGAAAAGACTCAGACAGACAGACATGAGACAGACAGACAGACATGAAAAGACTCAGACAGACAGACAGACAGACATGAAAAGACTAAGACAGACAGACAGACAGACATGAAAAGACTCAGACAGACAGACATGAAAAACTCAGACAGACAGACATGAAAAAGACTCAGACAGACAGACATGAAAAAGACTCCAGACAGACAGACATGAAAAGACTGAGACAGACAGACATGAAAAGACTCAGACAGACAGACATGAAAAGACTCAGACAGACATGAAAAGACTGAGACAGACAGACAGACAGACATGAAAAGACTCAGACAGACAGACAGACATGAAAAGACTCAGACAGGAAAACAGACATGAAAAGACTCAGACAGGAAAACAGACATGAAAAGACTCAGACAGGCAAAAAAGACATGAAAAGACTCAGACAGACAGACATGAAAAGACTCAGACAGACAGACAGACATGAAAAGACTCAGACAGACATGAAAAGACTCAGACAGACATGAAAAGACTCAGACAGACATGAAATGACTCAGACAGACATGAAAGAGACAGACAGACATGAAAAAGACTCAGACAGACAGACATGAAAAGACTCAGACAGACAGACATGAAAAGGACTCAGACAGACAGACATGAAAAAGACTCAGACAGACAGACATGAAAAGACTCAGACAGACAGACATGAAAAGACTCAGACAGACAGACATGAAAAGACTCAGACAGACAGACATGAAAAGACTCAGACAGACAGACATGAAAAGACTCAGACAGACAGACATGAAAAGACTCAGACAGATACACAGAAAGATATGAAAAGACTGATATAGACAGACAGACAGATATGAAAATACCGACACAGACAGACAGACAGACAGACATGAAAAGGCTGAAGCAGACAGACATGAAAAGGCTGAGGCAGACAGACAGACAGACATGAAAAGGCTGAGACAGACAAACATGAAAAGACAGATTGACAGAGAGACATGAAAAGACTGAGACAGATATGAAACGACTGAAATATAGATACATATGAACAGATATAGATAGATATGAAAAGACTGGGATAGATATGAATAAAGAATGATCCATCAGAACAGGCTGAGATAAAAAGATGAAGATAAAGATGAACAAACTGAAATAGATTGGTATTAATAGGTAATAACAGATTAAGATGGGATTATATTAGTAGACACATTTATACAGATATGAACATATGGGGATAGACATGATGCAGTTATATAGATATTTACAGACCAATACATGATCATATTGATAGATATTAACAGATTGAGAAAGAACATTGATAGATATGAACAGAGATAGATAGATACATATGAACAGACTGAGATAGATAGATAGATATGAACAGACTGAGATAGATAGATAGATATGAACAGACTGAGATAGATAGATAGATATGAACAGACTGAGATAGATATGAACAAACTTTGACAGATGTAAGTGAAGAAAGGTCCAATGGAACAGGCTGACATAAACAGATGAAAGTGAAGATGAAATATGAACAGGTTCACACAGAAGAATATTCATAGATATTAACAGATAGTGATACCCTTATATAGATATAAACAGTCAAACATAATTATACTGATATAAGCAGATTGGGATACAGTTATATTAACAGGTACTGACAGAAGTATATTTATAGATATTAATATACTGAAATAGAATTATAACAGACTGTGATGCAATTATACAGATATTAAGAAACAAACATAAAATTATGGGGATTATATTAACGATGTGATAAATTGATACCGACAGATATTAACAGATTGAGATAGAATTATATTAACCCTTTAGCATTCAACACACTCAGACACACCCATAAAATAGCCCTCAAGACCTTATAGTTTGTGGTCAAAGTCTCACTGTTTGTGTTATTTCTTGTGTTATTTGTAATGATGTCATAATATATTATGGTATAGTGATGATGATGATGATGAGAGAGTGATGATGATGTGTGTGAAAAAAGGGTTGTGATGATGGTGATGATAAGAGGAGAATAATGTTGATGATGATGACATTGATAATAGAAGAATGTTGAGGAGGCAGAGGATGATGATGATAGAGGGATTCTGCTGATGATGAATGTTCTTGATGATGAAAGTTGTTCATGATGATGATGACAGAAGAATGTTACTAATAATGATGACTATGATAGAAGAAAAATGTTATTGATAATGATGATGATTATAGAAAAAGAATAATGTTGTTGATGATGATAGAAGAAGAATAATGTTGTTGATGATGATGATAGAAGAATAATGTTGTTGATGATGATGATAGAAGAATAATGTTGTTGTTGATGATGATGATGATAGAAGAATAATGTTGTTGATGATGATGATAGAAGAAGAATAATGTTGTTGATGATGATGATAGAAGAAGAATAATGTTGATGATGATGATAGAAGAAGAATAATGTTGTTGATGATGATAGAAGAAGAATAATGTTGTTGATGATGATGATAGAAGAAGAAGAATAATGTTGTTGATGATGATGATAGAAGAAGAAGAATAATGTTGTTGATGATGATGATGATAGAAGAAGAAGAATAATGTTGTTGATGATGATGATAGAAGAAGAAGAATAATGTTGTTGATGATGATGATGATGATAGAAGAAGAAGAATAATGTTGTTGGTGATGATGATGATGATGATAGAAGAAGAAGAATAATGTTGATGATGATGATGATGATAGAAGAAGAATAATGTTGTTGATGATGATGATAGAAGAAGAATAATGTTGTTGATGATGATGATGATGATAGAAGAAGAAGAATAATGTTGTTGATGATGATGATGATGATAGAAGAAGAAGAAGAATAATGTTGTTGATGATGATGATTACAGAAAGTTAATGATGACAAAAATGATGCTAGAAGAGGACGATGATGATGATGATAGAAGAATGATTAGAGAGAAAGGAAAGAAGAATGATGCTGAAGAGGGAAAAGAAGAACAATGGTGATGAAGATGTGGAGAAGGAGGGTGATGATGATGATGATTAAAGAAAAAATTACAATAACTGTTTAACCTTCATACATATCAGCTTTCAAAGTCTCACTGTTTGCGTGACTTCCTTCGTTATTTGTGATGATGCCATCATATATTATGGCAGAGTAGACATGGGACAGGTTACAGCAGGTTGAACATCGCAAGCCAATATTTATGGGGTGGGTTGAATGATAAAGTGTTAACAGACTGTGATAGATTGACAGTGACAGATATAATCCCCCATAATTATATTTGTTTCTTAATATTTGTATAATTGCATCACAGTCTGTTATAATTCTATTTCAGTATATTAATATCTATAAATATACTTCTGTCAGTACCTGTTAATATAACTGTATCTCAATCTGCTTATATCAGTATAATTATGTTTGTCTGTTTATATCTATATAAGGGTATCACTATCTGTTGATATCTATGAATATTCTTCTGTGTGAACCTGTTCATATTTCATCTTCACCTGTTTATCTCAGCTTGTTCCGTTGGACCTTTCTTCACTCACATCTATCACAGTCTGTTCATATCTATCTCACTCTGTTTATATGTATTTACCTATCTCAGTCTGTTTGTACATATCTATCTATTAGTCTGTTCATATATATCTATATCTATCTGTTCGTTCATGTCTATCAATGTTGTTCTTTCTCAATCTGTTAATATCTATCAATATGATCATGTATTGGTCTGTAAATATCTATATAACTGCATCATGTCTATCCCCATATGTTCATATCTGTATAAATGTGTCTACTAATATAATCCCATCTTAATCTGTTATTATCTATTAATACCAATCTATTTCAGTTTGTTCATCTTTATCATCATCTTTTTATTTCAGCCTGTTCTGATAGATCTTTCTTTAATCATACCTATCCCAGTCTTTTCATATCTATCTGTCTTTCTCAGTCTTTTCATATCTATCTCAGTCTTTTCATGAGATAGTATTATATTAATCAATATTAACACAGTGAGAGAGATAATGGTCTTGAGAGATATTAAAAATTGTGATAGAATTACATTGATAGAGATGAACAGACCAACATATACTGTATATTTCTGTGTATAAGATAACCTTTAAACCACCCTTAAAAATTGGGGTGGGGCCATCTTACACTACAATTCTAAAAAAGAAACAATTCCAAGTGGTGTTTGTCGGTAGGCTAACCTTGGTGTGACAACCAATAACGTACATGAAAAGATTCACATTATCAAATAAACTGATAATAAAAGTAATAAAACAATCTCTACTTTATATATTACAGGCATAACTTCATAATAAATTGCTTATTTGAAGAATAATTCCATATCAATGAAAACAACTTGTATCCATGCAAGCTCTCCTGAAAAAATGTAATGATTGAATTATGATAGCAAATAAGATAATGTACTATTATTGTACATCATCGCACTGTTATCAGTGGCATTTTGTGATTGTCATGAAATATAAGTAAATGGCCATTGACTTGAAGGGATCATTGACAATCATGGCCTGGATCTCCCCAACAAATTCAGGAGTTCTTATCAGAACAATCTGAGTGCATTTTCCAATATGCTGTACCTTCATAATCACCATTAGATTCATCCAACTCTTTCTGAATCATTCAAACACTTTGAAATGTTCATATTTGTTGTGGATTCTGGGATGAAATCCGGTCTCAAATGAATGACAAATGCAGGAATGAAATATAGCAAATAAATGTATTGACGTAATAATACAATTGGTAATACGGTTAGTAGATCCAAAAATGCGGTTAGTAGCAATAATAATATATATTTACAGTCAGGGAAATTCAGTATCGAAGTAGGACATCCTTCTGAGTCTACGTGCTCACAACTGTGACTCCTACAAAGCGGTTACCTCACACTCTCACTCTCGGGTATTCACCGGCAGCAGTACAAGTACACACTGGGCGAGTTCATTTGCGTGAAGACCAAGAAATACAATATGACGTTTCCAAATTTCTGGCAGAGCAAATTGCATTATGATAATCTTTTATTCACAGATGGTGCCCAACTGACCCTACTATACTGTGCAGTCGACAAAATTAAAAACAATGCGCATATGTGAAATTAAATATATAAAATGGCAACTACTTGCCTATCACACCCTGTATATACGTATGTTGGTTCAATGACCACAAAACAAAATCTTCAAATTCTTGAGTCCTTCTAAATAAAAATCAATCTACCAACATTCAACAAAACTTATTACAAGTTTAGTAGCAACATGTTGAAGAACATATAAAAAACATTTAATGTCATTTTGAATCCTACCAATTTCCAGTCAGCCCCCTTATATTGGGATGCTTGTTTTACAAAATTTTCAGAACTACAATGGATAAATTAAAATTTTAAAATAATTATAACAGAATGCATTCACACATGTTTTTTTAAGTCACCATCACACGTTTTTTTTTTAAAATCACCATCACAACGAATACAAATTTTATCACAGTAACAATTTGTCTTTAAATTTATCACTGACGATGATCATGGAGGAGATCAAAAGTACTTGGGTAGGAAAAAACTACAGTGCATTCCTTGATGAATTTCATCTTAACATCAAGAAACTGATTAAAGAACTGGAAAGAATCAGTATAAAGATAAACAGTAAATTGTAACAGTAATCAAGGCAAATAGGGAATATTTTGACGAGAGCAAAAATTTAATCATAAAATGCTTTTTTTCATAAAATCTTTCTTATTATAAAACACAGATTGTGTGTGTGTGTGTATGTATGTGTCTGTACATTTATATATTGGGTCAGATTTCCTACATTTTCAACCGATTTCAACAAAACTTCACAGGACTACATAAAATTACCTTGCGGTGGTTCTGACAGCATAAAATTGGAAAAACACAATTGTTTTTGCACAAAATCAATTTGAAAACCCGATTAAGAGGCATCTCTTTAAAAAATGAAAGGGGACAACTCACATCAAGTTATACTTATTATAAAACCCAGGTTGTTTGTGTGTGTGTGTGTGTGTGTGTTCGTTTATATAAGGGATTGAATTTCCTACATTTTTCAACCAATTTCAACAAAACTTCACTTTTTTTTTGGCAGGTAGTGTTTCTTATTGCACACATTTTCTTTATTTTTACATTCAGAATGCTTTAAAAATTCCATTTACAAGACAATTGTTTATAATAAAATTCTATTCAATCGGTAGTCTCATAACAATTGAAAACAAAGTTTTTGTTTGAGATTGACCAATTTGTAAAAAAAAACAAAAAAAAAAAACCAAAAAAAAAAAAAAAAACTAATTGAGACATGCGTGTCCGTCAATCTTAAACAATAATCTTTGTCAATTTTATTTTTCAGTCTTTATGATGGTCGATACTTGATCTATCTCTTACTGTTACATCCCCGGGCAATGCCGGACTCTATTGCTAGTTTCTAATAAAAAATCATGTCTCACTTTTTTTAACCATCTATAATAATTTTCTCTTACTTAAACTACAAAACAACTACACTACATTTTTGGCCAATTTAAAAAATTACCAGGGGCCACCTCAAACTTTTGAACTGTAGTGTGTGTGTATGTGTGTGTGTGTAC